GTCAGGCCAGCTATGGGGGCAAATAGCCTTAGGATGGCTCTGGGGTATAAGGTAGGATGAGATGGGGACTTTTTTGGGGGGTGGGGTCAGAAAACATGAACTCATGAAAACCAACACTATCCAAAGAAGGGATCAAAGGAGGCTTGAGAAGGGCTCCTCCGCCCCACAGCAAAATCCCCAGTCAAAACCAGGGACTGAATGGGTGTCCCCTTAGCACAGCCAACAGCCTGGTTGTTACAGCACTGCGCAAGGATGTGACGTCTGCCCAATTTGGCGTGCCCTCACCATCAGGGCCCAGGTAAATCACTGCTGGCGGAGCTGTCTTATTTTATTTAACTGCATTTTTGGTGGAGCAAAGAGTGGAAGTGGCCACACATCCGGTCGATGCCCTGACCACCCCTGTGCCAAATCCAGTTTCTGCTCCACCCAAACCGTCCTGCCACATCTGTCCTGCCTTGTACCAAAACGAAACATCTGTCGAGACAGACTGATTCTGCAGGCCAAGTTTCAAGTGTAAATTAACTATGTGAGCAGGGTCTAAGTTAAAATAGCTCAGCAGGAAAGACTTAAACCGACTTGGAGGTAGATTTCCTCGGTACCTGCCGCAAATTATTCGTCTTCCCTTCTTCTGGTTCCCATTTCTAACACGGGACATGGCCCAGTCTCACAGGGAAGTGGGACTAGTCTCATAGCAAAGTGAACGTGCCTGCTTCACTAGTACTTAAGTCGTGCTACATTAACAATAGGCAGACGAGGGTCTTTGGGTAAATCTGATATCTTCTATCATACCAACTCAAATAGTTGCCAAAATTCTTCGTAGCGAGCTTTCGGGCACAAACACCCTTCGTCAGGCTGAGGAAGCGTCCGCAGATGGTCTGTGCGCTTCCTGGACGGAGGGGTAAAGCAACCAGAGGCTGGCACGTATGCAAGAAAGCCAGTCAGTACAATAGAGGATCTCTGGCTTTTCTTTTAAAAAAGACGCATCCATCCAGGAGGCAGACCTGGAATACATGGGTTAACATGTGCACGGGAGAAGGACTGGCTGTGCACTTGGATTATGGGTATTAAACGACACTCGGCCAACACAGGCAATTGGCCAGGGGGAGGTTTGCCGTAACCCACAGGACCTGTTTTGCCTGCGGAGAGCAAAGGGCTTAAGAGCTCAGAGAAAAAAAACAACCCAAACTATGCAGCCTGGCTAGACTGAATTTCAGCATTACCTCCAGTGGAGATAATGCATATTCAGCCTGGCAGGTAACTCAATGACACAATGCTGCTGAAAGGAGGGAGGCTGAACCCGCGTTCTGCCATCCAATTTGTACAACATCCTAATTAAGGGGAGACGTGAGAAACTGCACTGTTAAAGCCACCCTCCCCAAACCAAAGGAATACCAGCCTCGTAAATCTGGGACTGAGACGCAACGTTTCTACCCAGTTTGCAGCGAGTTTGCTCCGAGGGGCCCAACACACTGCAAACGGCTGCAGGAATTAGGGGGCTGGGGGCTCGGCCGGTCTCGGGAGGCCCACCCGCAGCTGAACGGTGGGATGCCAACCAGGGATCGTCTAAAAAAACCCGGGGAGAAGTGGCCAATATCCACCCGCATCTCGCTTTCGGGAAAAATTTAATTCACCCCATGTGGCTGCGAACATTGAAACCAATAGGTTTATTCTGGATTTGAACCACTACAATTGAGATTGCAGCCTGGCTATGAGAACCACAGGCTGCTGTGCCCACATCCTACGGGCATGAATAGTATAGCTACATACGTCATACCGAATAATTGTGTCCCCCGCCCCCCTGAGGCTGTTTATTAGACCAGCTTGGGCACACATGTAGGCAAAACACACACGATTGCATGAGCAATTCTTGCCGCAGAAGGCAGGAAGTTGTGCGTGCCAGTTACTACTAACAGCCTTTTGCAACAGGAGTCACTTGCATTGTAGATACCACACGGGCAAATAGCTGCACAAGCCGAGCAGGACTGCTCAGCTGATACCATCTACACCTGCGCAGGTGCCCAGGCCCCCCAAAATCCCTCGGACTGAGCGTATGTGTGCAGGATGTAGGGCCTGTACATCTTGCTGGATTTTTTTAAAGGCTGTGAGAACAATTGTCGCTACTTGACTTAGGAACAAAAAGAAATTCAACAGTGTCTACCTTGAACTTTTCAAAAGCTGCAGTCACTACCTGTACCCAGCTAAAGAGGCACAATAGAGGTATTCAAATATTGATGACGGCAAGTCTCGATACCTTTGAATGCTGCGAACGCTGCCTGTCTGAAAGCAAGTTGCTCCTGACCCAGCTGGCCCTGGCTACATTTACAGTTCATGAGCTGCAGCTTCCTCAGGCTATAAAACAACATGTTCCCCAAGCAGGACTCGAATGGCTCTCAGGCTTAAGACTCTAGCTATTTAATTATAGCAGGGTTGAAAGCAGGCGTTCATTCGAAGCCCAGTGATCCTCAGCCAGGGTGCTGCAGCCCCCTGGGGTGCCTTGAGATCCTTTCGAGGGTGCTATGTGGTGCCATGCAACCTAAGGTCTGCAAGTAGGATTCACCTGATAAACCTAGAGGTTTCAAACAAGAAGCCAAAACTGCTGTGGCCTGAGTTTTTTGCAACAGAAGAATTGCTCTCTGATGTTTCTGTAGTCAAAAAAAAAAGTGAAAACTAAGAGCTGGCATTTTCCAAGGGGTGCGTCACGTCTGAAAAGGTTCAAAACCAATGGATTAGCCATTAGATTTGATTAAAAGTGCTAGCGCTGGCGAGGTATTGTTCCCGAGGAAGGTGACAGGTACCACTGGTTGGGTCC